AAAACAAATCGCCGAATTCTGCTCCTGCTGTCCTCAACCGAGGGCGTGGGCAAACTGGTCGGGGCAGAAAGATACTGATGATGGCGATGATGATGATGATGATGATGATGCCGATGATGACGATGATGCGCACGATGACGATGATGATGATGTTGATGATGATGATGGCGCTGTATTTGCTGATGTTGATGATGGCCCTGGTTATACCGCTGATGATGATGATGATGATGATGGGGCTGATGGCGATGGTGATGATGGCGATGATGAACATGATGAACATGATGATTGGTGATGGGGGTGGTGATGAAGCTGATGCTGATGATGATGATAGCGACAATGCTGATGATGCTGATGATATGGTGAAGGTCATGGTGATGATGGTGGGGATGATGCGATGACGATGAGGAAGAGGAGGAGGAGGAGGAGGAGGAGGAGGAGGGGGAGGAGGAGGAGGCGCGCGCCCGACGGACCAGGAGGACGACCACGACACGCAAGGACGACGACCGACGAAGACGCCTCCGCTGCACACGCGAGGCCCGCCTCGCATCATCTGGGGCCCGAAAGCTCGAGAGCTAAGCCGAGCCGAGCGAAGTGGCGTGGTGATAGAGAGTCACTGTTGAGATGGGGGGGGGTGGGGCCACCCCGTCCAACTCGACGGAGGGAGACGTCCCCCTCTGTTGAAGTTGACCCCCTCGGAGCGTCGCATCCCCGAGCAAATGGCACTCGACTGCGGGGACGGTGTCGTCGCAGATTACGCTCGAAGCTTGCGACGGTCTAGCGCCGCAAGTTTCAACAAGGGGGGGCGCCCCCCTCCGTCGACTCCGAGGGGGTAGATCTACCCCCCCATCTCAACAGGAGGTAGGGGGGCAACTCGTCCCATCTCGATGCCTGGTCGTCTCCTTCCTTCACTGCTGGTTGTTCGCTCGCCCTCCTCATCGATGCGGCACGCCGCGCATGTTCCTCTGGATTCGATTCGGCGGGCTCGGAGCTCTCGAGTTTGCGGGCGCCATCTGCCCTCCCGCCTCCCCGCCTTGCCGGAGGCTCGCAGCTGCTGCGGCGCGAGGGCCCCGCGGCGGCGGCGTCGAGGCTGCCATGGGCCTCAGCTGGGACGACCCTCCCCAGGAGCGCGCCCAGCCAGACAGAGGGAAGGGCACCGATAAGCAGTGCTGTCAAGCTAATGCTACAATCTCGACGCCGGGGACGTCCCCGAGGCGCATCTTCGACTCGGAACCGAAAACCTGTCCAAGAGGGCCCCGCCGAGGGCCCCCAAAGCCCAGCACCCCAGGGCCGAAGGACTTCCCCATCGTCGAGATTTGACAATGAGATCGACTTCGCGAGTGCTCGGGGACGTCCCCGGCGTCGAGATGTGAGCTCGACTTCGCGATGACTCAAATCTCGACGCCGGGAACGTCCCCGAGAGTCATCCTCGGGGACGTCCCCGGCGTCGAGATTCGAGCTCGACTTCGCACGCACGCCGATGTCTCAATCTCGACGCCGGGGACGTCCCCGATAACCAGCCTCGGGGACGTCCCCGGCGTCGAGATCCTAGCTCGATGACGCACGCGCGCCGATACCTCAAATCTCGACGCTGTGGGACGTCCCCGGCGTCGAGATTTGAGTTTGATTTCGCGCGTGCGCCGAGATCTCAAATCTCGGCGCCATGGACGTCCCCGACGTGACTTTGGGCTCTTCGCAGTGCTTCCTGAGGCTACATGTCGGCTCCCAGATAAGCCAACTGACACGAGAATGCTAACTCCAAGCGGGCCCCAGGGTGCTGCGGTGCCCTCTCGGGGCCCTCGCACGGCCCTCTTGTCGCCATGTGGCCCCTGGTGGAGAGCCCCTCTGGGCTGTCGGGGCGTCTCGGGGGCCTCGGGCGCTCGTCGTGCGATGGGCTGGTGGGGTTACGCAAAGCGGCGCACGTTTGAAACGGATTGATTTTGGCATATTCGAGCTGCCAGTCGTTCGGTTCCAGTCAGGCGCGATGGCTGCATTACATGCGCTGCGTTACGTTGCCCCTCTCGGAGCCCATTGGTGCCAGAGCCCCAGTCAGGCTCGATCCTGAACCACTCGGTGCTCTTTTGGGGCCCTATCTGGTCCTGTGCATGGCCATCCCGAGGCTCCAAGAGTGCTCTCAGAGGGACCCAAATTGCCCGATGGAGTACACGTGATTATGTAGCCCGCTCTTGGCTCGCAAGTTTGCGCTGGCCTTTCCAGGCTCGCCTTTCGGCGCCTCGCTAAGCTCACTCTGACTCTCGGCTCTCGGCGACATCCGCAGCTGCTGCAATGGGCAAGCGCGCTCAGGCTCCTCCCACTCCGCAGGCAGTCCCGAAGCCGCCAGGGCGCAGGACGCCGGCAGGGAAGCTGCGGCGCAAGGATGGACAGTCGCCGGCTACACCAGGGGCAGCATCCTCCACAGGGAGCTGGAGTACGTCGCCGTCCAAACTCAGCGTGGACACCGCCACTGACTCTGACGTGGACATGCCAGCCGTGAATGGCAAGCACATGTTGGCACTGCAGGAGGCCATCGAGACGATCAACACTTGCCCAGTGTTCGACGGCATTATGGAGGCAGAGCCGCTGCCGATTCTGTCTGGCGATGTCCTCGATGAAGAGCAGGGGGTTCAGGCGCCTTTCGATAAGGACGACTGCGCAAACTCCATGAGCCGGACGGGGACGCACCGCTGCGCGGGCAACCTCGGGTGGCTCAACCTGACTCGGAGGCCCGACCCTGGAGTGCCAGTCCACGAGACGAAGCTGAAGGAGCTGACATCGTTCTTCTTCCCTGAACCGAGCTTGACGTTCCCGCAGCAGATCTACATCGCGGTGCCCAAGGATTACGAGCCGTGGAATTATCGTGGCGCCTTGAAGAGCATGATCCCATGCGAGTATACGCACGCGTTGCTGATGAAGATCGCGGACGACATCCGCGCAGGCGTGGATGAGGCGGTCTTGAAGAAATGGCGGCAGACCTTCCTCACCGTGCCCATGGTCTTTGAGCAGCACGACAGCGAGAGCTCTATCTGGCAGCGGGCAAGGATGCTTCGCGATAGCGGGGCGGCGGCGCACGAGACCACGACCTATTCTCCGAGCCAGACGATCTGGAACCTCATCATCTTCAAGCGCCGGCACGAGGGCACGTCTGGGAAGATGAACGTCAAGGAGTTGTACAAGAAATACAAGGAAGGTGCCGGTGATGTCCCAGGCCAAGAAACGCTCGCCGAGGGTTGGATCGACTGCGCGCTGACCGTGTGGGAGAGGGTCCTCGTCAAGGACAACCTGCGGGCGGTGGTGCTGGCGCTCGAGGATGAGTTCGGCCAGAGGGGGCCCTTCAATTCTGTTTACAAGCTGGAGGCGTGCGTGAAGATCGCGCGCTCAGAGGAGAACATCCTCTGGTGCATCAGCGCGGTCGCGGACCTCCTGAAGGCGGGCGCCATATCTACCGATGACTGTGGTGTGCGGAGCCTCAACGGCAAGAACTGCGGCGGCAAAGGATTGCTCCACCTTGTCTTATATAAAAAGGGCGCCCTCACCCATCTCTACAGCTACGTGGACCAGAACTTCGGCCGAGAGTTCAAGGACATGTACCGCAGCATCTTCGCGTCGACCGCTGAGTACCGCCTGAAGTTCGGGCACGACGGGGACCAGGTCGACCTCACGTGGATGGCGTCGCTCGAACAGAGCCAGAATCTCTTGACCAAGCTGACCGAGGACATGCGGCCAGACCTAACCACTCCTCTTGTCGAACATGATATTGAACCGAATGGAGGTGAAGAGGGAATGTCCCTCTTCACCTCCACTCGATTCAATATCATGTTCAACTTTCTTTCTGAACATTCGGGGCCCGAGACGGTCCCAAGAGGACCCCAGGAGGGCCCAATGTCAGACGTCGACAGGATCGCCCGGCAGGAGCCTTAGCCTCTTGTCGGCTTGTGATGGTGGGCCCTCCTGGTGCCCGCCTGGGGCCTTCTTGTGCGGCTCTGGGCCGCTGAGTTCTCTCGAGGCCCTCTCGGAATTGCGTATTCTGGAAACCCGCGCGGGCCTGAAACAGGGCCCTCCACTGGGCTTGTCTCGGGCCCATCTTCCCTCATCCCGTTTCACGCCTCTTTGAACTCCCCATGGCGTCGTGGGGGGTGCTCTGGGGCCAACTTGGCTTGCAGCTAGAGCACCTATGATAGGTGCTCTGGCTGGAAGCCCAGTTGGCGGGGAGGGCACCCTTGGCAATGCCCGATATCGTCCTCCTTAGAACATCGTCTACGCCTTCAAATATGACCCGCACCTCAAGAACTTCTTCAAAATGGGGAAACCCGTCCAGGAAGCATTCGACGCGAACCCTCTGAAAGAAGCCATGGACGACATTTCGACTGCCATCAAGAACGAGAGGATCCCTGTCCCAACAGGGGGGCAGACCGTGGCGGTGGCCAGCGACGATGACGACGAGCAGGGCGACGACGGGCAGCCATCGGACCCCGCGCTTGCAGCCGTCGTCGCGGCGAGCGTCGGCGCCGGCGGGACGTCGGCTGACGACAGGGCGAAGCTGGCGCATTGGTCAGATCACGCCCGGCGCGTGATCCAGGAAGGCGTCAGGGTGATCAGCCAGGACCAAGGGGCGTAGCAAATCAGCTTGGGGCCCTTTCAGGCAGAGCATCCTCTGCGTGTCGGGAGGCCTTCGAGCAGCCCGCCTTGGCATCGGAAGGGCCCCCCGAGGTTCCATCGGGTTCGAGCGGTTTGCAGGCGGCTCCGAGAGGGCTGAGCTGGGGGCACCGTCCGATCCGTCTTCCACTCCCCATCCTCCGCCCCCTTCCACCCCGCATCCTCCACTCCCCCACGCCTCCTCATCGTCCTTCTTCCCCTTCCACTACGTACTACTCATCTTCCCCCGCCCGTTCGACCTGTCCTACGGAAGGGCCCCTGTGGGACGGACGTCCCAATGGCCTCTCATGGCCACCCCTTGGGGGCCTCTGCCCACCCTTCTCCCCGTTTCTCGTTGCGGGCCCGCCCAGGGCAACTCGACGGAGCAGCAGATCGCGGACGTGATGAAGCAGAGCGCGGTCAGCAAGGCGAGGCCGAATCGCGAGAAGAAGGAGCACGTGCTGATTGTCTATGACGCGAAGCAGAGCGGCGAGTCGATGACCGCGCCGCACGACAGGGTCGCGCCGTTCAGGTCGGCCCACTACAGCAAGCTCATTTCAGCCGTCCTCAAGATGCGGGGTGACACCGAGAACCTGTCGGACGGCGACGTCTTCCTCGTGTACGATGCCTTTCGGCACGGCAACGAAGGGGAGATCGGCCGCTGCTTCAAGAAGCTCTCCGACGGCAAGCAGATCGAGAAGCAGAAACGCACCATGTACTTCATGTATGACCAGGACAGCTTGGCTCAGCACCGCGGCCTCACCCGCGGAGGGACTGTCATCCATCAGTGCGAATTCCTGCACCTGTTCACGGCCGCGCCCCTGGACCTCGGTGAAGACCGCGACCGTCGCTACTACAAAGGGACCAACAAAGGTGATACAGTTGGTCCTATCGCCATGCCTGCTTCGGCTGACATGTGGCACCTGAGCTTCACCGCCAAAAAGGAATGCTACGCCTCGCACAGGTCTCGAATCAGAAATCACCCAAGCCGCGCGATCCCCGCCCTCCTGGATGGAAGACGGACGGGCCCCGAGAGGGCCCCCAGAGGCTTCCGGCGTTGTTTGATATGCTAAGAAATTTTGCGGGGGGACGGGCACACGGCTCCAAGAGAGCCCCAAGACTAAGTGAAGAGGGCCCCAGCCGGGGGGGGGGGGGGGTCTCGCGCGTTGCCTGGGAGATCGTGCCTGCCAGGATCGCCGTCGGCGGCGCGACCGAGGGCCTCGGGGGCAGGACGGGCAAGCCTTCCGGGCGCGCCGAGGCGGGCGACGAGCCTTTCAACTTCCATCCGATGCCGTCGCAGCTGCACTGCGAGACCTTGTATTTTCTCAATGCAAAGGCCGTGATTGATTTGAACGTTGGTGACTTCAATTTTGCCTACACGTGCCTTTGCGAGAAGAAGCCTTATCTGATGGCCTTCGGCCCATCCCGCCACCGTGCCTAGGTTTTTGTTTAAGACCAAACCTGGTCTCACATAGCACTACCATGGTCCAAGAGGTGCCTTTGGCGCCACCATTGGGCCGCCCGACCTGTTCGCGGCGGAGCTGTTTTGGGGCCCTCCTCAAGGTCTATAGGGGCCCTGCGACGGGCCCTCTTGGGCCGTCCTGGGCGCCTCTTGGGCCGTATTGGGGCCCTCTTGGACCGTCTCAGGAGCCCTCTCGGGGGCATCTGAGGCAGTCGTTGGGGGCTTCGTGGGCCGCCGTCGTGGAGCGTCGGGAAATCGAGAAGGCGAGTGCGCCCATCAAAAACTTCACAACAAATAACATGTTGTTTGGGTGGGGCTCCTAGATGCCTCTGGGGCACCTTGGCGTCCTCTTGGGCCGTCTGCGGACCATCTTGAGCAGGGCGAGTGTCTGGCGATTCGGGGCCCTCTTGGACAATTTTGGGGCTGTCCCTCGTCCCTCTTGATCCGTCTTTCCTCCTCCTCCTCCTCCGCCCTCTCGGCAAATTTGATATTCACACATGCAGGACCGACTCCTCAGTTGAGGTGCCCACGCCGTGCCCAGAGCTACGGCGGCGGATATGGGCATCGCGTTCACTGACATCCACGCGAAGCTTGGCTTGGACTTCCTGCACAAGAGGGTCATGTCGGCCATGAAGGACGAAGATTCGCCGCTGTATCAAGCTGGCTTCGCCGCCCTTCTGGAAGACATCAAGAGTCGTGGCGCAGAAGCTGAGGTGCCCGAGGACGAGGAGGGCGAGGCGGCCCCAGGCCCCGCTGACGCTGAGGAGGGAGAGGAGGAGGATGCGGAGGAGCTTGAGGGGCCGCCGATCACTAAGAAGCCAGTTGCTGCGCGGGGCGGCCGCGGCCGCGGGGGCCGCGGGGGCCGCGGCAGCAAGGATGAGCAGCTGGCGGCTCTGGCCGCGGCGGAGGAGGAAGCAGCCGCCGCCGCGGGCGAGGGCGATGGCGACGAGCTCGGAGACGACGAGGAGGAGTGAGAGGATAAGTGGAATCGGCTTTATGCTTGTGGCCATGCGGTGGAACCCATGGTGCTTGCCGCCCTTGCGGCGGAATCGGCTTTTTGCCTGTGGCCCGTCCCGCTCATCCTACATCCTCGCTCCTCCTCCTCCTTTTCTGTTTTCCTCATCCCAGCCATTTAGGTGCCGGACGGCGCAACCGACTCTCATGACTCTGGGTGGCTCGGAGACCCGTGCATCGCATCGCGCGTCGCTCGGTTTCGGCAGGCATCGCACTAGACCATCATCACAACACAGCGTTACGACGAGCCACCCAGTAGTCCAGCATCTCACATCAGGCGAATCAGTTGTAGCAGTAGAAAATCAAACCCATAAAAATTCCGCGTGCTGCTCTTTTGTTGCCGCGCCTCGCATTGCGCCTCGGCGGCGCCCCCCCCTTTCCGAGGGGATGTCTGTCCTCAGTCTTCCTGTCTGGGCCCTCCGCCCCCCCGCCCCTCTTCGGAAGTCGGACTCGCAAGTCCACGCGCGGCGGCAGACGGCGAAATCGCGGCAGGTCGAAAATCATGAAAAAAACATGTTCCCTTCCCCCATCCGCGTCGCAAATCCTGGCGGCGCCATCCCTCCTCTCCAATCCCATCTCCACCGCGGTCTTGGGAAGGCGGAGGAGGACGAGCAGGAAGAGGAGGAGGAGGAGGAGCAGGAAGAGGAGGAGGAGGAGGAGGAGGAGGAGCAGGAGGATAATTCCACGTACCCAGGGTCAAATGAATTTCGAATTCAAGCGTTCGCCCTGCAGGAGAGTGAGTTGTAGAACGAGGAAGTGGGGGTGGCGGGACCACGGGGGCGAGGATAATCAGAACCATATTTCGGCACATGCTGCACTTGACGGTGACAGCCAATGCGGTTAAAAGGACACGAGGACGAGGAGGAGGAGGAGGAGGAGGCGGGGCGCGCGGGGATGGGCAGAAGGAACGTGAAGATGAGGAAGGATGAGGGCGAGGACAAGGGCGATGGCTAGGAAAGATGAGGGCGAAGATGAGGAAGGAAGGAACTGGAGTGGCGAGGGGCCTCCACCCTCCTCCTCCTCCTCCTCCTCCTCCCCCTCCTCCTTCTCCCCCTCCTCCTCCTCCTCCTCCTCCTCCCCCCACCCTCCTCCTCCTCCTCCCCCGCAGGCGCCGGCGGCCCCGCCTCGCGACGCCGCGGGCAGCGCCGGCGCCGGCGCGGCGCCGGCGCCCGCGGCGCCGGCGCATAGGCGGCCTCTGGTGGCCGCGCCCGCGCCGAAGGCGGGGGGCGTCTCTTCCTCCTCCTCCTCCTCCTTCTCTTCCTCTTCCTTCTCCTGCCCCCGGCAACATGTTTCAAGCTGCTTAGAAACATGTTGGTTCCTCCTCCTCCTCCTCCTCCTCCTCTCTCCTCCTCCCCTCACCTCCTCCCCCTCTCCTCCGCATCTGCCTCGCCTCCGCCTCCTCCTCCTCCCCCCCTCCTCCTTCTCATCCTCCTCCTCCTCCTCGTCGCCCCCGTCTGCCTCGCAAGGCGAAGAGGCAGAGGCGCCTGGGCCCCGGCCTGGCAGATCTGAGGGGTGGCGCCATTCAGGCGCCCATCGCGGCCAAGGTCCCGAAGAGGTACCCCCATGAGATTCTCGTCGGGATCTCGGGGGCAACGATAGGCGGGATAGAGGGGGGGCGCATCGACCCTCAGTCGCCCATTCATCGCCGATAGGGGCCTGATGATAGCCCACCCCGCCCAGGAATGCGCGGATTCACCATCGGGAGCCTGTCGCCGATCTATCGCCGACTCTAAGTCGATGCGCCCCCCCTATGCCACTCCCCCCTATCCTCGCCCCTCAGGAGCAGTTGCAGCGGGACTAGCGCAATGGAGTTCGCGCTCAAGGATCTAGTGGCCCCCCGGCGCTCCCGATCCCCCCAGAAAATCGGCCACCAGCGACCTTTTCTTTTCCTTTTGTTCCTCCTTCTCTTCCTCCTCCTCCTCCTCCTCCTCCTCCTCCCCCTCCTCCTCGCCGTCTCCTTCCTCCTGCTCCATCTACCTCTTCCCCCCTCCATCCATCTCCTACGTCCACCTTCTACTTTTTCCCCTCGCCTCCTCCTCCTCCTCCTCCTCCCTTCCCTCCTCCTTCTCTCCCTCCCTCCTCTTCCTCCTCCTCCTCCTCCTCGTCCTCCTCTTCCCCCTCCTCCTCCCCGTCTCCACCTCCTCCTCCTCCATCCACTTCTCCCCCCCTCCATCCATCTCCTCCATTCACCTCCTCCCCTTCCTCCTCCTTTTCCCCTCGCCTCCTCCTCCTCCTCCTTCTTCAACTGCCCGCGCTCGTGTGTGGCGGCATTCGCTTTTTAAGTAAAAGAACCCCGAAAGCCGATAGATGAACTTCAACCGCTCTTCAGTTTGTTCTAGTCCCGAACCCGGCGCTGAATCCGAGTCCAATCCAATCCTCTTCCCTTCCCTCCTCCTTCTCTCCCACCGCCTCCTCCTCCCCCTCCCCCTTCTCCTCCTGCTGCTCCTCCTCCTCCTCGTCGTCCCTGCTCTTCCTCTTGTTCCCTCATTTTTGGGCCTCCAAGATGGGGTCAGAGTAGATGAGGTCGGGTGATCGCGCCGCGTCGCCGCGGCTCGATGGCATCGCCGATGAATCTCCGACGTCGCGGGCGATGCATCGCCGATGCGGCTCGATATTCCGACCCCATCTACCCCGATCGCATTTCGGATGCTTGTATAATTTGTCCTGGGTATTCAGCAAGGTCCTGGGCCCTGGCGCGCGGGGCAGCGGATATGAATGTGCCGCACAGGGTACGCTTCGCAAGTGATAGCTCCAAATATGCCAAAAGGTTATACGAATCGCACCATGCTGTAGACTTTTTCATAGAAGACTGCATGAGCGTGAACCATCAACACGCGCCTGCCGTCGACCTCTACAGCGCCGGGTGGCCGTGCCAAGGGTTTTCCCTTGCAGGCCGCAGACGAGGGCCATCGCACCCTCGCACTGCAGTATGGGACGGCATATTCGAATACATCAAGACGAAAACTCCGAAGGCTTTTTTTTATGGAGAATGTGCCCACATTAACATCGAAATGGCAAGAGTACTTTAGAGACGTAGTCATGAAGCAGCTCCTTGACATCATTGATGAGAGAGGCGATCCAGCTTACGAGACCAGGTGGAAAATATTGAATTCGATGTGTCACGGAGTGCCCCAACAACGGCGCAGGGTGTACATAGTGGGCCTTCGGAGGAATGCGATCGTTCGAGCATTTCAATGGCCCCGTCCGGATCGCAGCCCTAAGTTGGAGAACTTCTTGGATCTCGATGACAACGTTGGCGGGCGCAATCGGCACCCTAAGTCTGGATCTACTGCTGTTAGCAGCGTCAAAGCCGTGTATGCCAAACTGGCCGCTCACAACCTCGACCCGCGTAAGCACCATATCATCATTGACACTGGGGCCACGAGGCCGTCGTTCTCCATCGGTCACGCGCCGACCTTCACTGTTTCCAGGTTGGCCCCGGCATCGGAAACCAGCGAGAGGCTGGGCGAAAGACGAGGAGAATGAAC